TAGTTAATAATATAGTCCATAACCAAATCCATCTGATAGTTTATAGTCACCAGTGAAAAGGTATAGAGAAGAAGGGGGAAAAAATAGTTTTTAATGCATGAATATCAAGAAATTTGCTTCAATAAAATTCACGATGAGTTGTTGACATTCTCTCTACTCAAGACACTATTAATGAAGTTACAGGTTTAATTTCTACAGCATTTATGTTTTTCCTTACTGTTAATAGGACTGTTACGTATTTAGTGAGAAAGCGCATTTTCATCAAAAGAAAAACATCATTTATAATAGGCATCAGAAATATTAAGTCTTAAAAGAAAATATTAATGTATGGCAATACTTAAAAATTTTAAATTGTTAATGTAAGATAGTTAACTTTGATAAAGATAAGAACTTTAATAAGAAGGAACATGTGGCTTTGGCAAAGGGCCTTATTTTAAGAAATTATATATACAGTTGACCCTTCAGCAATGCAGGGCTTAGAGGTGCCAATGCCCTACACAGTTGAAAATCCACATAAAATTTTTGACTCCCTTAAAACGTAACTCTTAATAGCCTACTGTTGACTGAAAGCCTTACTGATAAGTGATTAATTCAGTTCTTGCTGTACAGTTATTAGATTTCCACATCAGGACACTCACACACAGATACAACAGGTAAGTTTATTAATTACACAGCATGACTACTATTAACTATTCATTAAGCGGTAGTGGAGCATCATACAGGTCTTCCGTCCTCCTAAGCTTCACACTGAATAGGCTGAGTAAGAGGAAAAAGAGAAAAGGTTAGTCGAGTGGTCTCAGGGTGGCAGAGGCAGAAGAAGTGGAGGAAACGGAAGAGGAGGCAAGAGAGGTAGGCATACTCGGTGTAACTTTATGGAAATACATTGTAATTTCTGTCTAACTTTTATATTTGTCATTTCTCTAAAACTGTTTCTATATGCTTTAGTTTCAGTGTCTACATCTTAGAAGGGTCCATGTTGTAAGAGATATCAAAAGCAGTGATGAATAATCAGAACTCTTCCACCGGACTGTCTAACGTTAGTTTGTTTTCTGGCAGTGCTTTTTCTATATATATCTTCTTCCTCATTGTCTGGCATCAAGTTATCTCCATCAAATCATCTTCCATTAATTTCCCTGATGTAGTGACTATTAAGAAGGAGCTCTGATAGCACAGTGCCTAAGGTATCTGATTACTAATCAGATTGATGGCTTAAACCCACCAGCCACTCTGTGGAAGCAAGACTGGGCAATCCATTCCCATAAAAATTCACTACCTCAGAAACACAATGGGGGTCACTAAGAGTAGGAATCAACTTGACAGCAGTGGGTTTGGGTTTTTTTTTTGTTTGTTTAATGACTATTAGCTCTCAAATCTCTCCAAGATGCATATAATCTGCATACAAGTGGACCCACACAGTTCATGCCTGTGTTGTTCAAGGGTCAACTGTATGTGTATTTATTTTTAAAATGTTATTTCGTATTTATTATTTAAAAAAATATATTATACACACACACACACACAAGTTTTAGGAAACTTTGAAACAGAGAACCAAAATTACCATCTGAATTTTGATTTATCTTTGACATTTCCACATACAGAAAAGAAGTCAAGAATTATAGAATACTGTTTTTGCCACATTAGATTGTTCACTTTAAGACTTAAAAGATATATATTACCCTCAAATCTCTGGCTTCAATACTTCTGCGTAAACTGAATTTTTTTTTTTAATCTCAGTGATGCCATCAGCACTTATTTCCAGAAGAACAGATTGCTAACATCCTTTTATATAAACAACAGAGACAATAACATTACATAAAAGATTAGAGTTCATTAACTTTTAGTATTTGGTCTTAATAGGATAGATTCTTAGATAGTTAGGATTTATAATTTTATTGTACTTTCATTAGGACTTTTACTGGAAAATAGTCTTATGACTATAGTATATAAAACAATAATTCTGCAATGTACAAAGAAATGTTTAAATTTAAGACTCTTCATGTTTACCGATACAAAATCTCAAAGAAAAAAAAGATCATCTCTTATGTGTTTATATGACATAATTTAATGGCCTGTATAATACCCAAGGAACCATATTCTTTAAAACAGAGTAAATACACTTCTAATGTAATTATCTTAAAAAAAAAAAAAAGAGAGAGAGAGAAAACTATTTTTCAAAGCTCAAGAAATATAAGTAAATCCTTATTGCAATTAAACGTAATTTCACAATTTGTTACAAATTACTAGTAAATTCTCTAAGACAATATAAATACAAAAGACACATAGTTTTAAAATGTTCAAGAATAAGAAAATCAGATAAACAAGAATCAATCCACAACAAATCACTATTTAATTTCCTAAAATTATATAATTTAACAATTTTATGAGGGATATGAAGTACTGATAAATTATTCTTTGAATACTCTAAAGTACCTGAGATAGAGAACATAAAAGGGGTTGATGCTGGAAGAAAGTAAGCAGTAAAATTAAGCTTATGCAGAAGTGAATCTTCCACTTCAAAATACCAAAAAACACATGCCTGTTTGACTAAAGCTAAGAGATGATACTTTAATACAGGCTTAGGAAATACAGAAAAGCAAACTCCACAACCATGAAAGCAATAACCTACCATTTGTTTATGTTTTTATGGCTCAAAGGGTCAGAAAGGAGGAGATAGTTTGTAATTCTTTGGCAGAGATAAAATGTAATCTACTATATAGAACTTCAGATTTCAAGGAAAACACCTTCAAATTCAGCAGCTAACAGCTTGTCTCTATTTGCTGTCACTCTAGATCAGAGAAACCCACACTTTTTTCTTTCCTGGCCCCCCCCTTCAGTTACACTTGAGCTCTCTGACTGAAAAGGTCTGGAACAGATTAAAGTCGGCCACAAAATAAAAAGCTCTGGCATGTTGTCAAAGCCTGTCTGGAATATACATACACAGTGGGCCCAAAAAGGGAAACTAAAAGCAGTAAAAAAAACTTTATGAAACTTTTTTCGGTATATCTAATTGTATGCTTATGTGTACGTATGTAATAGAAGTAGGGAAGGAATATTTTTTTTGTTTCAGTACTTCCACTTAAAACAAAAGTCCAATCTGTGTAACTAACAGACCTACTTAAGGCCACATAAAGTCATTTAATTTCAATGTTCTAATTGAAAATCTTTAATTAAAAAAAGCTCTGGTCTAGTACTTGATTTCTGGAGTTTGCTGTTGCTGTTTGTTGTTATGTGTCGTCAAGTCAGACCCCATCCATCCTTCCATTCATTAAATTTTCTTTGTATGATCATACTACTAACTTGCTTTGTATTGTAAGAAAATCAATGTTAGACACTCATCCTAACTAGGCTTACTTTATTAGGTAAACTCTCAAAAAACCAAACTCACAGCCGTCGAGCTGGACCTGACTCATAGCGACCCCTCCTTGGGTTTCCGAGGCAGTATCATTACAGAAGTAGATTGCCCAACCTTCCGTCCAAGGAGTGGCTAGTGGGTTTGAACCACCAGCCTTCTGGTTAGCAGTCAAGTGCCTTCTAACACTGAGGAAAAAACCACAGCAACATTTATTTAAATTTTCAAAACGTGGACAAATCATCATTTCATGAAAAATGATTTTAAGGAAACACAGCTATTATCTTTCCAGTCCCTACAAATACCAGTATTTATTATCTAACTAATTTAGTTTCCATTTTCAACTACAAGGTCTTACTCAAGTATTAAATAGAATCTGAAGTTGCGAATTACATGGCACATTACTTTTCAACACCCAAACGGGTCTGAAACTCAAAAGGCTAGTATTTAACCCAAACTGGGTTATCTGTCAGAATGATGGTCTCTGGCCTGACCCAACCTTTGACTTTACTTGAATAAGGGGCTCAATCAGTCCATAAAGCCAACCAGTTAGTCAGTCTGGGACAAAGCCAAATACTGGAATTTTTTTTTAAGGTTTAAATAAAGACATGAGAATTGTTCATAATGTTCCCGACAAGTAAGTTATTTTCTCCAACTAGTTGTGGGTAGAATTTTTCTTTTACTTTTTTTCCCCAGAGTTGTGTTTTGATGGCATCCACAGAGTTAATTCCTCTTTCCTGTAAGAGCCCCACAGTTGTTGTTAGGTCAACCCCTGTAAAGCTTCAAAGGTTCCGCGTCCCCTCAGCCCGATCTACTCACTGATCTGCACACTGTTTTCATTTAGCTGCCTCCAGTCCAAGACGAAAGCTTTAAAACCACAATGATCTGCTCCTTTTTAGATTCATTTTTCCATAGCTTTGAAAAAATATCTCCGAACCCCAACGAAAAACTGAAAACAGTGGAAAAAATATGGATAAAAAGGCACCAAAGAACTGGCATATCCTTTCCAAAATGTACACATTTTGGGAGCAGAGGATTTCTTTGCACAAAAGGTGATTCAGCCATGTGATGTGGGGAGGAACAGGGCTTGCTTTTTATTTCCAAAATGAAAGAGAAAGAAAAGGACCTATACTTAAAAAAATTTAAAAAAAAAAAAAAAAGGTCAGAAGAGAAGAGAGAAACAATGCTTTCGCTGGATCATCTCTAGGGTGATGTGTCTTCCCCCACCCTCAGGATGGGAAACACTGAAATACTTAGGCATGGGATGGTATTCATCACTCTCAGAAGTTAAGCATAAGCAGACAAAAGCTGGTATTCCAGGTCTGAGATGTGGTGTGAGTCTGATTATTATTGCAGCTAGAAAGACCATTTTAACCAAGACCACTGTGTCTCACAAAAATGTGAAAAGAAAGCCACCATAACATCCTCCCACCCCCATCTCAAGGAGCCCAGACTAAAAAAGCTGACTTAGACCTGAATTTCTCAAGTTTAAAGTGAGAGGTATAAAAATAGTACTGGGAAATGTTGGGTGGGCAGTTATTTTTACTATTATAAAACAATGCAATTTTATTTAAATGTACCTTCCCAATATACACACAAAAAGAAAAAAGTAATCAAAAATATCTAAAAAGGTTTTGAGATGAACCTTTACCAAAACGAGGGTCAAGCCTTGGGTCTAGCCAAGAGGTGGTCTTGTTCTTATGGTTTATATAGTAAATTTCTCCATCCTGAGTCATGGCTTGTTCCCATCCATCAGGAAGAGGACCTATAATACAGAAAAAAAATCACGGTTGGTTTTTATTTGGTGCAGCTAAAAAAAAAGTGGGAAGGATACTAATTTAAAAAGAAAAGACATCTTGACATAAAACAAAGCATTAGAACAGATTTAAGTATGTGTTCAGAGAAGAAAGGTAAACCTATATGCCTGATTCTTCTCCACTAAAAAGAAACCACCATGTAATAAAATTAATATCCCCAAAGACAAACATGGAGAAGAAAAGTCAGTTTTCAAAAAATTCTTTTGGAAGTCAAGACTTAAATAATTTTCATTCTTGTTAGTACAAGGCATGGAGGTGTTGTGGCTCAAGGACTACTCTCAATCCAAATGTTGTGGTAACAGTATTTTCCTAAGGGCTCCAAGGTTTTTTAATAATGAATATATGCATGTGTTTTTGGACTCTCTAAATAAGCATTCTATTCAATATAATGCACAAGTTAGCCAAGCCTGCCGAGTTCCATACATTTCCCATATTTATGTGACTGGCTCATACCAAGAAACTTCTAACAGAAAAACCTGTAGTCCAAAGAAGCTTCTTTTATTTATTTATTCCAAAAAGCTTATTTTTAAGCAGACCAGAAATTGCTAATAGGTGGGGATGGTGGCTGGAAGTTTAAGTTTGTCAGAGAATTAGAATGGAAAAGGGTAAGAGCTAAAGTTGTTAGAAGGCACATTTCTCAGGAAGGAGAAGGTCCCATTTTAAAGCTGTAGAGTAAGGAAACAATAACTGGGAGACAAGACTAAAGAATATAGTAAGTCAGGGCTAAGAATATAGAAGATGATTTTTCTATCTTTATTAAGTTAGCAGGACAAAGATGTGGCAGGCTGCTTCCATAAAGATTTACAACTTTGGAAACCCTATAGGACAGTTCTACTACGTCCTATAGGGTTGCTGTGAGTCACAATCAACTTGACAGCAATAGGGTTGGTTTGGGTTTGTTTATCAGGTTAGGAAAGCAAGACAAGTGCTTTGGAGAGGTAATAGCAATGAAAAGTGAGGCCTAGCATAAATTCAAACTTATTTGGTCCTCATACCCTTGCACCCTCTCCTCCTTTCCCATCACCACCAGGAGTCAGGAAAGGCAAGTATAAATTGAAAAGTCTGAGTACATGCCTTAAACCCGTGCACTAACATGAACTTAGCTAGTGTGTGCCAATCACTATCCTAAATATATTATATCTCATTTAATCCTTACAATAACCAATGACATTGGCAGGTAACTTTTCACCAGTATTATTGTTGTATAATGTTAATAAAATCCTTGTGTCACAGAATTCATATTCTCATCAGAAGAACAAATATATATAAATATATAAAATGTCAACTAACAGTAAGAGCAATAAAACAAACAAAAAAAGGTAAAGCAGAATGAACACACAGAGAAAATGGGAAATGATCTATTAGAAATGGGGACCAAGAAGGGTTACACTGAGGTGGTGAGCTTTAAGTTGAGTCAAGCTCAAGTGTGTGAAGGGTGAACTGGGGCAAAAGCCAATTCCAGACAGGGGAACAGGATGCCAGTGTGGATGGGGCAGAAAAAGCAAGGAATAGATGATTCACTTTACTTTTTATTATGATCAATACTTTACCAGAAAACATTTAATCATTTCAACCAGCTGGTTAAAACTTTCTAAAACACTGATGTTGTTGTTGTTATGTGCTGTTGAATAGGACCCGACTCATAGCGACCCCTCCTTGGGTTTCCGAGGTGCTATCACTACGGAAGTAGACTGCCCCATCTTCCTTCCCAGTAGTGGCTGATAGTGATTCCCCAAACTCATGGACAACCACTAGACAAGTGAGAACAGGTCAATACACATTTTTATCCTGATTCACTTTTACATCCTTTAAGGATAGATACGGAAAAGATGTGGGAATTTTTCAAGGCTGGGTTCTCAAGCCTGACCGAAGTTTTTGAGAAAGAAGAGAAGATAAATAGACCCTGTCTCAGGAAAGTAGAAAGAAAATGTTCAGCATTTTGATGAAATATAAGGAGGGTGAGATATTTGAATTAGGACAGCAGAAGATCAAGTGTAGGCTATGATTAAAACAATTTATAAATAGAGTTACTTATCTTGGAGAAAATAAATTTTTATGTAGAATTTTTTTTTTGATAGTACTTGTTGATTGAGAACTTATCTACTATAGCAAATAGTGACTTCCTGCAATATTTTTAAAACAAATAAAATAACCCATGTTATAATAGTGAAGGTGACTCAACATCAATTTCCTGCTCTTGCCTAAGGACCCTCTTGAATTAGTAATGACTGACTAAAACCATCTGCAATGTTTAATCAAACAAGAAAGTCTTGATTAACTACATCACAAGCTAGAAGATCAACCTTTCCCTCTCACCTGCCCCACATTCAGAATAAAAAAGTCATCAGGACACTGAAAGTTTATGAAACACACCCTGATGAGTGGCTCAAAGTACAAGGCCATCACGAGGTACTTAGAAAGTAATAGGAAAGAGTATAGTCGATTACCTTTTGAAGTAATTTAAGTCTAAAATCTTGACCAATTTCAGTTTTGAAAGTCTGGTCTCTTGTATTTATGATGAATCACAAATTGTTACTACTCTGTGCAAGATACCATTTTACAAATATTAACTCATTTAACTATTCAATGATGTAGGTGTTTTTACAGTAAAACCTGTGTAAGACAAAAAGGAAAATTCAAATATTTTCCACTAAAATGAGTGAAAGAAAAAGTATAAAGACTGCACCTTGCCAAAGGCAGAAAACCTGTAAGACCTGGAAAAACAAGGCAATCCCATTGAGTTCCAGCTCCACAGGTTTCACTGTACAGTAAGTCCCCAAAGTACAATGTCTGGCTTACAGACAACTCATACTTGTGCCTTTAATGTTGTATAAATTCACCCTCACTTTGAAAGGGCTGAAACAACCCCCTACTGGCAATAAATTCTTCATCACAGGGTAACTAGCAAGTGCAACTTTTAAAACACTGAAAAGGCATTACTTTAAAACATCATTTGCATTTGTTCTTCAGATGAAATGTTAATGTGTATTGTCACTTTTCCATGACTAAATTTCAGCAACAGTCTCCAAATCGGTCTTAACCAATTCCAATGTTAAACCTTTTATGGACCAAAAGAACACCTTGCCTCATTTCCTTTGAGGAAGTTGTTCTCTGACTCAGGGCTTTCAATGGCTCCCTGAAGCCACTGAAAAAACTTTCGGTGAGTTATTCTGTATTCTCTAGAGTTAGGCATTACATAGCACTGCATAGGTCCTGAAAGCATCCAACATTCTAGGCTGTACCTATTCCTGAAAGATCATTTCACACCTCTCCTCAGTCTTCTTTCAGCCCCTCACCAGGCCCTTCACACGTGTAATGCTCCCTACAGGAATTAATCTTGCCACCCCTTTATACAGCTAATTCCAAGTTATTCCTAGTTTATTCAAATGCTATTTCCTCATGAAGGCCTTGACTATGTATAGCTCCCTTTTCTATTGCATCAGGTGCTTTCTCTTTGGTGAGATGATTCTATCAACTTTAATTACTACTCAGTCAATGTTAGTCCTTCTGGCTGCACAGCTGGTTCACACCTGTCCTTCCAGTACTTAGCAGGTGTGATTCTTATAGAACTTCCTGGGGATCTTGTTAAAATGTAGATTCTGATTCCCTATAGCTGGTATGGAAATGCAAACTCCCAGCAGGGGGGGTCAAACAGAAGCAAATGGTTTAAAGCCTTTAGTGCCATGCATTTTCCACCTCTACATATATATCCCTAATGCATCCATCCTCTAATCTGTCTCCTCCTCCCAGCTCCCATCACTTTCTATCCACTGAAATTCTACTCTATGCTCATGCTATATCCTTGTGAAGCTTTTCCCAATTCTGTCCCACTTACAAGAATCTACCCCACCTGTGCACTGAAATTTTACTTGTTTTGAATTTAGGGGTACTTATTTCAATAGTGAAGAGCTCTAGTGGAGTAGTGTAAGGCATCTGGCAGCTAACCAAAAGGTCAGTGGTTCAAATCCACCAGCCATCCCACAGAAGAAAGATGAGGCAGACTGCTTACGTAAATTTATAGCCGTGGAAACCAAATGAGGTCTATATGAATCGGTATCAACTTGATAGCAGTGAATTTGGTTCTGAGTATTACATAGTGTTCTGTATTTACTCTTTTAGATTTGGATTTAACTATAGGCTACGTAGTATTATAGGAAGAATTTATATTCAAGTCCTACTGTATAGAGAAAGAGTTCATTTTTTTGAGTGGGTATGCTCAATTGTGCAAGGTTACTCAGGACGAAGGTAGCAACATTTAAGAGAAACTATCACCGAGTGATTCATAAAGTTTTCCAGTATTGTATCAGACAGTATTTCACTGCTATTCATAAAGTTTTCAATGGCCGATTTTTTCCGAAGCAGATGGCCCCATCCTTCTTCCCAGTCTGTCTTAGTCTAGAAGCTCTGCTGAAACCTGTTCACCATGGGTGATCCTGCTGGTAGTTGAAATACTAGTGGTATAACCTTCAGCCTCACAGCAACATGCAAACCACCACAGTACAACAAACTGATAGATGAATGGTAAATGAACAATTCTGTCCTGGAGGAACTGCAGCTGGAATGCTCCTTGGAAGTGAGAATGGCCAGACTTCATCCCACCTGCTTTGGTCATGCTGTCAGAAGGGACCAGTCCCTGGAGGATTTCATGCTTAGCAGAGGGTCACTGAAAAAAAGGAAGACCCTCAAGGTGATGACTGACACAGTGGCTGCAACAATGTGCTCAAGTATAGCAAGGATTGTGAGAATGGCGATGGACTGGGCAATGTTTTCATTCTGTTGTACACAGGGTCACTATAAGTTGAAGCTGACTTGACGGCACCTAACAACAACATTATCACCAAGTTACTTTGTGATACTTTGGTCTGCACATTTTAAATTGTGATTTTCAAGATATATGTGAACTAAAATATATTTACCTTTGATTCTTCTACAGTTTTGTTTCCAAAGA